GTTGAAATCACCTTAGCTGAGGGTAGGAGTTGGGGTGGAAGACTGTGAGTCAGAGGCCAAAGTCTTACATGAGCGTTTATTAGCTGTATTTTATGAGACTCAGCCATCGACACATTCTTTTAGGGAAACTGCCTTGTCCAGTCGGAGAAGGCAATGGCACCCCACTCCAGTACTCTTGCCTGGAAAATCCCATGGACAGAAGAGCCTGGTAGGCTGCAGTCCATGGGGTCGCTAAGAGTCAGACATGACTGAGCGACTTCACTTTCACTTTTCACTTTCATGCATTGGAGAAGGATATGGCAACCCACTCCAGTGTTCTTGCCTGGAGAATCCCAGGGATGGGGGAGCCTGATGGGCTGCCATCTATGGGGTCGCACAGAGTCGGACACGACTGGAGCGACTTAGCAGCAGCAGCAGCAGCAGCAGCCTTGTCTAGTAGTCAGCTGTACCACTTCCCTATCCTGGCCCTATTCCTGTACAAGTGATTAAGTTGAGTTATCCTGCCTTTCTATCAGCTTGCTAGGGACCTGTGTGACCTGTCATGAAAAGATGAATTGGGTTAATCGGATTTTCTCCTGGGATCTGGGGATTGGAAAACAGATTAAAATGATAAGCTCCAGGAATATAGGTTGAAAGGATACATCAAGAATTGTTAAGAAATATTTAGCAGATGTTGTACAGTGATCCTGAAACATTTTTAGGACTTGTGAAATGTTTTCTAATATTTTGAATGTGTTGCCTGTGTTTGAGGATTGGAATGTTTTATATTGAAATCTGACTCTTTGGTTTCTCTTGTAAAATTCGAAAGTCTGAAAATAGCAAAAACTGACTGAAGTTACGTAGAGAACAGGGCACATGCTTTCCCCTTCACTGTGGCCTCCCCCACTCCATATGCTTACACCTGGTCAGCTTCATTCATTTACATTATCTGTTGGCCCCTATAGCCATCTGACAACCAACCTGTTGAAGGAATAAGTAGCAATAAGGGCTTATATGCAAGCTAGGTTCATTGGTGAACAGAATCTCTAAGAGAACAAGAGGAAACTGGTGGGTGTTGGGGAGTAGGCGAGATAGAGAGAGGATACAGCTGCTAAGGAGAGGGGAACCAGTGCTCAGAGATGCCTGGGTTTCTGGGCTTCCCAGTTTCAATAGCTGCTCATGGTTATCTTCATCATAACTCCGTTTTCTTGAAATAGTTTGCAATGCAAATAGCCAGGCTAATGGAGGGAGTTACGAGGAAATTGGTGGGCAACAGCAATGAAGAAAGTAAGAGTGGTTTAGTTAGATGATATTAGCCTCAAAGGAGAAGAAATTCTTACATGAAGGTAGAATATAAATTATAAGTTGCTGTCAAGAGTTAGAGTCTTGGTGATTATGTATTCTGGCCCAGAAGGATCAGAGAAGGAGGACTGAACTACCTCTGCTTGAGTCAAAAGTATAGTCAAAAGTATTCTCAGATGAAATCAGAAGCATTTTGGGAAGGGCTATGGGTATTCAGAATTCCAGGGGGTTTGGAGGAGGGAACTGGGAAGTCCAGGGAGAAGAAAATTGAAAGAAATTTAAGTTTTGATCATTTATATCCTCTAACTGGGCCTGGAAACTGACTTTCACTGTGTGTTAAAAAGAGCAGTCTGTATTCTGGCCAACAGAGAAGGCTTCCTGAAAGAGGTGGCATATGAGCTGCACTTTAAAGAGGAGATGAAAAGGAAGTGCTTCACAGGCAGATAGAGCCACAACTGCAAAGGCTGAGTTCTAAAGGGAGAGCGGGCAGTTTGCAATTGGTGGGCATCATGGGGCCTGAGTCACCTGGCAAGTTATTTTTATATCTTGGGGCCTTGGTTTCCATTATTATAAGAGAAATAATATCGTATTTTTTTATTCTAGGATTCAGTGTTTATACCCTATCTCATTTTTAATATTTCTTGATTTAGGACATATCTTAAAATTGACACCCCAAAATGCTTGCTTTATAGGGCAAAAAAGAATTGTGACAGTGTTATCACTAACTCAGTTCAGTTCAGTCACTCAGTTGTGTCTGACTCTTTGTGACCCCATGGACTGTAGTACACCAGGCTTCCCTGTCCATCACCAACTCCTGGAGCTTCCTCAAATTCATGTCTATCGAGTCAGTGATGCCATCCAACCATGTCATCCTCTGTCGTCCCCTTCTCCTCCTGCCTTCAATCTTTCCCAGCATCAGTGTCTTTTCCAGTGAGTCAATTCTTCACATCAGGTGCCAAAGTATTGGAGTTTCAGCTTCAGCATCAGTCCTTCCAGTGAATATTCAGGACTGATTTCCATTAGAATAGACCAGCTGGATTTCCTTGCAGTCCAAGGGACTCTCAAGAGTCTTCTCCAGCACCACAGTTCAAAAGCCTCAATTCTTCAGCGCTCAGCCTTCTTTACAGTCCAACTCTCACATCCATACACGACTACTGGAAAAACCATAACTTTGACTAGATGGACTTTTGTCAGCAAAGTAATGTCTTTGCTTTTTAACATGCTGTCTAGGTTGGTCATAGCTTTTCTTGCAAGGAGCAAGCATCTTTTAGTTTCATGGCTGCAGTCACCATCTGCAGTGATTTTGGAGCAAAAAAAGTCTCTCACTGTTTCCATTGTTTCCCCATCTATTTGCCATGAAGTGACGGGACCAGACCGGATGCCATGATCTAAGTTTTCTGAATGTTGAGTTTTAAGCCAACTTTTTCACTCTCCTCTTTCACTTTCATCAAGAGGCTCTGTAGTAGTTCTTCACTTTCTGCTGTAAGGGTGGTGTCAGCTGCATATCTGAGGTTATTGATATTTATCCCGGCAATCTTGTTTCCAGCTTGTGCATTTCACGTGATGTACTCTGTATATAAGTTAAATAAGCAGGGTGACAATATGCAGCCTTGATGTACTCCTTTCCTGATTTGGAACCATCACTAACTGGGTATATGCAAATTTAGCCCCATCCACAGAAAGATGTTCATTTAATAATAAGCTTAGTTGAATTATTTGCATTGATTGTGCCATACAGTTTAATTTGAATCTCAAAGTGACATGTTAGGTGTCTTCCAAAAGATTACATTGGTGTTGAAGCATTGACGTTATACATACAGATGAATTGTCATGCATCAGGAATACAATTATTGTAGAAACGACCAACTCTCTAAATTTGACATAATGGTTACAAATCTAGAAGAGATTGTCTTGACTAACTGAAGTGCCTGAGGACATCAAACATTTAACTATCAATAGTTTCTAGTTATTAAGAGAAGATGTGTAGATTCTGGGCATGTGCAATGTAATTTAAAAAAAAAGAAACCAAGTTTATAAACAAAGAAGAAACATATATAACACTGATACACTCTTTGAAACATCTCAAAAGTATGCTGTTAATTTCTAAAGGTGATAAAGAGATCAAGATATAACTATAAGTTATGAAAAGCAGCATGTCATCATGCTATACTTAAACAGATGGTCAAAAGTGTTATATAAGACTTTAGGCAGTGGAAGTGAGAAGACGTAAACTTCGCCTCTGATTATGGTACTGAAGATGAAAGTGGTACAATTATGATAATAGCCAGCAGTTACTGAATGATTACAATGTGGCACTGTGGTAAATGCCTTTGGACATCCTCAAGACAATGCTATCAGATCAGTGGTGTTATCTTCATTTTGCAGTGAGAAAGGTGTCTTCCAAAAGGTTACACTGATGTTGAAGCATTGACATGTTGTACAAACAGATGAGTTGCCATGCATAAGGAATACAATTATTATAGAAATGGGTTACCCTCTAAATTCGACATATGGTTACAAATCTAGAAGAGATTGTCTTGACTAACTGAAGTGCCTGAGGACACCAAACATTTAACTAGGCAAATCCAACTTACCTCCAGAACCATGATGCTGTTCTAACACCTTCCCTGTGCATTTTCACAGATATGATTTTTAGGTTGGGTTTAAAAGTATATACTTAAATACAGTGTAGCCATGGTACTTTTTACTTCCATTCCATGCATCCATGGCACATTACTTTGCCGACAAAGTTCCGTCTAGTCAAAGCTATGGTTTTTTCAGTAGTCATGTATGGATGTGAGAGTTGGACCATAAAGAAAGCTGAACGTGGAAGAAGTGATGCTTTTGCACTGTGGTGTTGGAGAAGACTCTTGAGAGTCCCTTGGACTGCAAGGAGATCAAACCAGTCAATCCTAAAGGAAATCAGTACTGAATATTCTTTGGAAGGACTGATGCTGAAGTTTCAATATTTTGGCTACCTGATGCAAAGAACTGACTCATTGGAAAAGACCCTGATGCTGGGCAAGATTGAAGGCAGGAGGAGAAGGGGACGACAGAGGATGAGATGGTTGGATAGCATCACGGACTTGATGGACATGAGTTTGAGCTCATGAGAGTTGGTGATGGACAGGAAGGCCTGGCATGCTACAGTCCATGGGGTCGCAAAGAGTTGGAGACAACTGAGCGACTGAACTGAACTGATGAATCCATGGAATCTAAGAATCAGAAGTATGGAACTAGGGGTTATTATGAGGATCAGCTGACGAATATCTTACAGCGGCTCCTAGAAAAGTCGTGTATCAGGGGGTAGGTGTTGCAAGTTGGAGTAAATGAGCCTGCATTCTCAGAACTCTCTCATCTTAAAACTGGCAAAGGCTACTGAGGGAAAGACGTCAGTAAGGAGGAATGTCTTCTGTGGTTTTGAAAGCGGTTCCTCTACACAGAAAGCCCTGCCTCCCATACCTGTCTAAATACTTCTGATCTTTCCATGTCCACCCCTAATGCCAGCTCCTTCAGAAAGCAGTCTCTGGTTATATGAAAATATAAACATGGGAGATACTTTCAAATCGTTAAGTGATGAAGCCAGTAAGTGAAAGATGGACTTTATCATTAAAGTTACCCGCGCTCCTTTCCTGGCCTCAGATTCTGCAAACTGAAAGGAAGAGGTGGTTTAGCCTATCTCTTCCTTTTGTAATCTCGACTCTTTTTAACCTTTTCAGATTTCTGCCAGAGCTGCCGTGAAAAGCAACTCTTCTTCCTTAGACCTGCAGGCGGCGGCTCCTCCGCGTTGGCAGCTCAGCAGGGATGGGCTGGAGAAGCAGGAGAGGAGGAGGGGGGCTCTAGGGGAAGCGCGGCGCGCAGCCACGTGACTTCCTTCCCAAGGAGCCTCAGCTGCAGGCCTCCCAGCAACCAATGCGTCCCGCCTAACGACGCCCGCGCATCCTGGTTGGTCTTCGGGAATGCTTGTGGCAAGGCAGCTCCCACGGTCGCGCTGCTTATTGGCTGGCTCTACCGTCGCTCAGGCGCGTTGCCCGAGCTCCCGCAGGCGGTACTGTCGAAAGCCCCTCCCATTGGCCGCTGGGTTTGTGGCTGGCTGGCTGAGGCTGTCAGTCCTGGGCCGTTTCCCCGAGGCAGGCGCTCTGCTGGGGGCGGGAGGAAGAGGGGCCGAACTGGGGCCTGACTAGCAGTCGCTGCTGCCACGGTCTTCGGGGCTGCTATGACCAGCGGACGACGCGCCCTCAGCAGCTCCGCGCAGCGCTAGTCGCGGCCGTGCGCCCGCCGTAGCCGTCTGCGTCCCCAGCTCAGCCGCTCCCGCGGCTCCCTCGGCTCTTCCAGTGCCCCCTGCGAAGCGAGGCGAGGCGGAGGCAGGATGAAGATGACGGTGGATTTCGAGGAGTGTCTGAAAGACTCGCCCCGTTTCAGGTAACCGGCGCAGCCGCCCGGCGCCGGGCCGGCGTCACCCGGAGCTGGCTCCTCCGGCGGTGGGGGCGTGAAAGCCGGCCCGCGGAACGCGCGGGGGGCCCCGCAGTCTGCGCCCTCCGACGGGGCGTGCGGCCGTTGCTGTGGCTCCCGATCCGGAGAGGGCTTGACAGCCCCGACTAGCCCTTCAAGAGGGGCGAAGCTGGGCCAGGAGGGGGACGTCGCCTCCTTTTGCCCCTTCCTTGGCCTCTGCCCAGGGCGGAGCGCCCGAGAGGCTGGGCGCACCCGTTTCGAGGAACTGGGGTGCAGCCGCGTCCCCGAAGAGTCGTGCCCTTTGCGGGCGCGCTCTCTCCCCTTCCTCTGGCCGCTCGTCCTTTCCCCTTCCTTCCGCTCCTTCTTCGTTTCCACCCCCACACCAGCCCCTCTTTGAGAGAGCTTGCAGGGCACCCTCTTGCAGTTCACATAGTTCCTCTTCGCGCTTTTCCGCACCCCCTACCCCTAGGAGGAAGGACTGGGGGGGCGAACTGGGACATCGATTTCTGCTGCTGGCTTGTCCCGGGCCAGGGGGGCTTCTAGGAAGGCGCTGGCGGTTGATTGTACTGGAGTCGGGGGTGGGAGTGTTTGACCAGCCTTATTCTATCCACTGTGGTCCTAGACTCTTAGGCTTTTCTTTCCACCTAAGCTCTTTGAAGGGGGCACCGCTGTCGAGAGTACCGGGCTGAGGGGTGAGGACTAGGAGAAACAGTCCATTTCTGTTTTGAGAACGGAAGTAGGAGGGCCTTGAAGATTGCATTTCTGTTCCTCTTCCAGCAGCGTCGGCCCGGGAGGGCCCCGGTCACCGTCGGATGCTCCCAGTGGATCTGTCACATAAACTGACTTGGCACTCCGATTCACATGGGCTGTCTTCCTCCCTGGAGAGCCGGCAGCCCTGAGGGTGTCCAGAGCCCAGGCCTTTTCAGTTTTGGGCATCTTAGAAAACTCTTGAATTGTTTTGAAGAATGGAGTTTTGCTAAGTTGTGTTTTACACTGCATTTATAGGGCTGTCCTTAGGCCTTAAAAATAAGGCCTTCAAAACTTCCGTTAGAACAGTGACATGTCTTGAAAGCGTCTCCTGGGCATTGATGTGTTTGTGCTCGCTGATCTTTAGGGCAAGCCTGGGTTGTAAATTCTTGCATCCTCTGCGTGGGAACGAACTGTTCTCATCTTTATCACTGTTAATTTGATTTGGCTCCCCCCCCTTTTTTTTTTAACCCCAGTGAAAAGCAAAATACTGTAATACTTAATGAACTGCTACTTCTAAGACAATGTCCTTTGGTTTTTGTTTATTTTTTGGTGTTAATTTTATTTGGAACTTAGGGCTATTGCTTGTAAAAAGGTGCACATGGTGGGGTGGAGAGAAGGATGTTGGTATTAGTTTTTAAAACTTTATGTTTTGCGTGATTTGAGAGACTCAGGAGGTACAAATGGATAGTTTAGAACAGCATTGCAAGTTAAATTTCAGGACTGTGTGGCAAAGGAAGTAATTTTTAAAGTGTACCTTAAAAAGTTCTCTTTTTTGGTGGAATTTTTATTAATGTGCCCCAGCTATTACTGAGTAATGATGTAGTCACAGCATTTTTTTTTTTTTTTTTTTTTGGTCTAGGGAATGTGACTTTGTGCTCAGTTTGTTTTGCATTTTAAGTTTCATTAAAAAAGAAAAAGTTGAGAAAAGTTATTTGGAAATGTTTCTAGGTACTGCTTTTGGTTATAAACTATGTTCTGTCTTTGTTTTTGAAATAAAAGAGTGATTGAATGTAAAGTAAGAGGAAAAGATACTGATTAAGTTGTATGGAATATTGTAGTAAGCATTTGTTAACCTTTAGTATAGTATCTATTTTATATTAATTAAGACATTAGGGATTTTCAAGAGTTGTTTCCAGTATTCCATTTACTCTTGGCTGCAAAATGGGACGAGAAACTAAGATTCACAGAACTCTAATATATTGTATACGTTTGTGAGACTAGATCAGATTTGCCAGGAAATAAAAGTCTCATCATATATATTCCTAATTATAGTTCCATTACTGTGTAGGTTTCTATAGTATTTGAAAATAACATTTCAGAAGTCTTTATTCACATGCTTATGTATAAGAGAACCTTTCAAGAGCATTGCATACTTTGAGTGATATTTTGAAGTATTTGTATCAGAAAATTTGTGACGGCTGGGCTTTTTTGACAGCAAGGCAGCTGTACTATTTATTCCTTGTAGTGTCCTGATCTGTTGTGCTGTTTTAAAACTAATTCCTATTTTTATTATCCTTCACAAATGAATTTGTGGCATTTAAGTCTGGTATGTGGACATAACTGTCTTGAATGTTGTATAATCAATGTAAATGGCAGCTCATGCTGAAGAAAATTTTCACCAGTGGTCAAGCTTTAAACATTCATTTTCCTGTTAAATTGATAAGGAAAACAGGAGGAAGACTGGTTGAAATATGGAGAGAAGGATATTGCAGTTGCAACATTGTTTTTAGTAATTTGAATAAAGTCTGTGGTTACATTTTACATTCCTGTGAACATTTTGTTTTGTTTTTAGATTGGAAGGCACATTTCTTTGTGTAATTTTGGGTTCTCTTAGTTTTTTAAAAGCCACTCTAAAGGTCAGAATCTTGTTCATTTAAAATCTACAGGGAAGTGGATGCATCTAACTAAGTATACTTTTTAAAAGTATGTCAAAAAAATAAGGTGAAAATGAACTATTTTGACTGTTTGTTGAAGAACTTTGAACTTGTTTGGGCCTGCCCTAAATTGTTTGTGTAAGTGTGCTTTAAAATTTTATAAGAAATGTGCTTTTTCTTTATATAAACATATGGTTCACTCAGGAAGTGAATATTTTGTTTGAAATAAAGAGTCTAATTAATTAGTGGTTTTTGAATTGTGGAAAGAAAAGAAAGATAGCACTAAGTTGTGTCTGATTCTCGCGATCCAGTGAACTGTGGCCTGCCAGGTTCCTATGTCCATGGGATTCTCTGGGCAGTCCACTGGAGTGGATTGCCATTTCCTTCTCCAGGGGAACTTCCCCACCTAGGAATGGAACCCATGTCTCCTGCATTGCAGGCAGATGCTTTACTGACTGAGCTACATGGGAAGCTTTGAATTGTGGAGGATTTGCTCTAATTTATTGCCCAAATATAAAAATATTGCGTCTTTATATGGAACATTTATTGTTTATCCTTAAACAGTATTTATTTTGCACCATTCTGAAGATTTTTTGTTTCTGTTTCAGATATAATCCTTGTTCAGTAATTTAGGATAAAAATCTTAAGATGTTTTAGGGTGAAAGGTTTTAATGGCTCAAAGATATCACACATGTGCATGCGCACATGCATATTCTATTTTGCTCTTAAGCAAGTAGCCAGTCATGCTACTTTTCCTTCTATATTTAGAACAAATACACTCTTAATAATTGGTAATTTACACATGGAAAATATAGTGGGCAAGAGATGAAGCAAAATGTGTTCTTATTTCAGAAATGGTAGAATAGCGTTGTAAAGTAGTTTTATCGTGAACCAAAATATAGGGATCCAGCTATTCCTCATTGCAGCTTCTAATTCTTTATTTAATGTAGTATCAGCTTAAGTTGAAATAAGGAAGAACAAGTTCTTATAACATGCCAGATCTCATACTCAAGTATGCTTTTACAACTACCATCTCATTTAATGTTAAAATATATTATGATGGGGAATTATAATTTTTGTTTTTAAAGTGTTTAAAAAGATGCCAAACTGGATATTTTGAGAAGGTAAATTGACTTTCTTAATGGTGGACTTTCAAGTGGTGGACTTGGAAGTGAATTCACTCTTTTACTCTGTCTTTCAAGCTACAGGCTCTGTTACATTAATTAAATTTGCATTAATTGTGTGTATGATGTCATTTATTATACCAATATTTAAAAACTGGCTTTCGTGTATTGCCTAGAAAAGTGTTCCCATTCCCATTATTATAAGATATTTTCCATTTATAGCAGTTTTCAGTTCCATGTAATGCAACTGGATTTAGTTCTGAGTGTGAGGGATAATCCTGTTTTATTTTCTTCCGAATGGAGGCCCTTGTCCTGATACCTTTTACTATATAATGCATCTTTAACCATTGCTTTAAAATTATACACATATGTGCATATAGTCTTTTTCTGGATTCTACTCTTTTCTACCAAAGTAATTGTCTGTTCTTCTGCAAATATTGTTAATATATTAGCTGTAACATTTTATAGTTTGTTATGATATCTGGTGGGTCAGCTTTTCCTTTGTTACTGTTTTTTCAAAAAATATAATGGCTATTCTTGAATATTTTTTCTTTATAATATAGCTGCCTTAATATCAGAAGATGGTATGTCTTTCCATGTATTTTGGCCTTATATATTTAAAACTTTTTATTACTTAAAATTTCAGTGATGATCCAGCTACACGCTGCTTATAAGAGAAATACCTTAGATTGAAAGATACAAGTATTAATAGGTTGAAAGTAAAAGAGAAAAAGGTAAATGATGCAAGCAATACCCACAAGAGAGCTGGAGTGGCTATATGTAAATAGACTTTATGACAAAAATTACTAAAGATAAAGGATATTTTATAATGATAAAAGGGTCAATCCATCAGGAAGAAGTATACTTATATATACATAACAGAGCCTCAAAATACAGGATGGAGAAGGCAATGGTAACCCACTCCAGTACTCTCGCCTGGAAACTCCCTTGGACGGAGGAGCCTGGTAGGCTGCAGTCCATGGGGTCACTGAGGGTCGGACACGACTGAGCGACTTCACTGTCACTTTTCACTTTCATGCACTGGAGAAGGAAATGGCAACCCACTCCAGTGTTCTTGCCTGGAGAATCCCAGGGACGGGAGCATGGTGGGCTGCTGTCATGGGGTCGCACAGAGTTGGACACGACTGAAGTGACTTAGCAGCAGCAGCAGCAGCAGCAAAATACAGGAAGCAAAAAATGATGGGAGTTAAGGGAGAAATAG